AAGGCCTATGAAGCGGTATATAAGTCTACTGCTATTGCTTCTAATTGGCCAATTATTTTTCAAAATACTAAATATTCGCATCACTGTACTTTGCTTCCCTACAACCAAGCATAAAATGGAACGCCCCAATATAATCATTTCTAACATTTCTATTCAGACTGGCAATATAATCCAGCAATACACGTTAGTGGGAACTGATCTTTTCTTATTTCTCAGTCATCTCACTTGATAAATTAAAAGCAGAACGAGCAATTTTAATCTATAGTTACCAAATAATACTAAGTTGTTACACAGTACATCTCTTGTCACCAAGTAAACCACCTTTTCAGTTCCACAAACCACCACAAGAACTGCACATGCATTCACATAAAAAGCTTCCCCCCTGTAGATGATCTAGACACTGTTTTCTGGTTCTGTGAGTAGGGAAACATCAAGATCCCTGGGGGAAGAGGTTTAACTTCTAGATGAAATTGCAAGTTTCTGTTCCTACAGCCATATCAAATGGTAGGGAGAACTTCGTTGAGCTCTACCAAAGGAGGCCAAGGAGATTCCCATACAAAGAAAGGGCCAGATTAGCCCACCTCTCAAGCTACACATTTCACACTATTTCTGAATAATGGAAGTTTATTGGTAAACTGTATAAAAGGAACTGCCACTGTCAATTATATTTTCATTAAAACATCTTTAGTTTTAAATTCCTCTTAGTCCCAGAAACTGATCTTCATATTACTGTAGACTTTTGAGACACCTTAGATTGAGGGATAAACAGGCAGCTCAAAACATCCATATATGGGAAAACACATACATACATACCAGTGGTGGGTTCCAGATTCCGTTCCAACCAGTATGGTTGGAATGGCCCCGGCGTCACCCACATGGCCACGCGCAGAGCGCGCTCATGCATCATACTTGCCTGTGACGCTTCCGCAAGCCTCCGCAATGATCCAGCTGCTCGGCGGAGCGTTGCGCAGGCGCCGTATGCACCACAGGCTTAAAGCACAGGTAAGGAGCTCGGGAGGGCGGGTAGGCCCTACCTGAAGCACCATGCCGGAACAGTACCCGGTGATCTGGGCTGGATCCAGTACTCCCGCACCGGGGCGTACCGCCTGCAACCCACCACTGATAGATAGATAGATAGATAGATAGATAGATAGATAGATAGATAGATAGATAGATAGATAGATAGATAGATAGATAGATAGCAGTAGACTTAGCAGTATAGACAGACAGACAGACAGACAGACAGACAGACACACACACACACACACACACACACACATACACACACATACAATCTCACTTGCTATTTTGGGCATACAGTCTCCAGATTTTTGAAAGAGATCATGAATTCAAAATCAGGCATTAATAATTATTTTACATAAAAAGTATCTAAAAATTTAGTATTTAAGAAAAAAAATTAGAAGGTGTAATCCCTATTACTAATAATAGAAACATTAAAACAAAGTCTGCAGATTTGCTGCAGCAGCCCTTGACTCACAACCACAATTGGGACTGAACTTCTGTTGCTAAGCTATATTGACATTAAACGAGTTACATGTCTGATTTTACAACCTTTTTGCTGCGATCATTAAGTGAATCATGCTGTGTTTAAGCAAATCTGGTTCCCCCCACTTGGCTTTGGTCGCTAGAAGCCCCCTGGGGTGGTTACAAATAAAACATGACTGTGGGGCATTGCAATCATTGTAAACATATGCCAGTTGCCATGCACTCAAATTTTGATCATGTCATTGTGGGGACATTGCGATGGTCATAAATGCGAGGACTTATCAATGTCACAATGTCACTTGGAACAGGCACTAAAATGGTAGTAAGTTGAGGACCATCAGTATGCATTGGAAATTGCAATCCTTTTTTAAAATCCAGGAAAGGGTAATGCAACTGGTCTTGTATGTTTTGTTTTAGCCCTGGAAAAATCCCAAATCTCAATTGCTACAGCAACATCTACAACTGCTATAATATCTCTATATTAGAAAGTAGGCACTTTTCTTTCCTCTAACCAACTCTTAAATTATTAAATATATATATTCGATTTTCTAAGCATTGTTTTAGACAATTATTCTTACTTGGTGGGGGGGGGGGGAAGAATCTTCAGCAAAAAAGCTTCTGTTGCTACATGAGTTTCTGTGGTAAACTAGAATCAAGATCTTTCTGCTCCAAAACCTGAACTGCTATTCCACATGCTGTCCAAATCCTGGTACTGTCTGTAACTACCTCTGAATAAAATTCAACTTTCTCTAGATTTTTTGTTTTATATTAATATCTAGTAAACAAATTCTCTCTCCCTGAAAATATATTCCTTCTGCTTAAACATAGCTTATCTCGGGCTTAAATGCTGTTTACTCTTTCTGAATACATATTTCATTCAAAAAGATTGTTCTGAATATGTGAATGTAAAAATTAGCATTCTTTTTAGCTCCTTATTTGAACATTTGCATTTCTAAACCTTTATTGTCTACCTTAAATAGAAGATAATTTATTCTTTCATCTAAACTGCACAGAAATCCTGTATAAAAGATATATATTGCTTTTACCTTTAGAGCTTGGCCTCCAAATGCATCCCAACTCCTCCTTGGTAATCCAAATATAACACAGACCTGACTATACATATCAGCACACAGAAAGCAAGATTCTTAACCATAGGCTTCTACGTAGACCCAGAAGACATGGATAGACAGAATGCGTGTCACACAGCAAACCATTTGTAACAGAGGCAAAATTGGAGTGAAGAGATAAAACATAGTTATTGCCATTCTATAGCTTAGCCAACTATAACAGTAACTTGGTATCTACAAGTACAAATGTTTCATCTTACATTTATCCTGTTTGGATTCCACAAGTAACATTCAGAGTCTTCATTCAGTGTGAGATATTAGAGAAAAACATGATCCATGTTAGAATACATGCTTTGCCTGCAATATATATTCAGGTAAAAAGGAATTTGGAAACAGAAAAGACCCTGTGAACAGCTGATGGAAAGTGAGTATAGATAACATTGAGCTGGATCGACAAACAATCCAGTTAATATAAAGTACTTCAATTTTTCTGAGTAAGACAAAATATGTTTGCTCTAAGGTCAAGCTTTTATCAGTAAAAAAAAATCAAAGGAATTTCAAAATAAACACCACTGTCCATTTACTGTGATTTAAAAATCACTGTGTTTAAGGGGAAATTAAACATTTATCAAAAAGGACAGCTGTTCTTTGTTTAACTAGTTCAGCAACCATTTGAAGTTCAGTGATGTAGATAGTTGTGGCAGGTCCTCATACTTAGAAATATCCTCAATCATTGTCAATGGGGAAGCCAGCAGGAGGTTGTATATGGTGACCACATGACACCTTCATTTAATGACTGTGGTTATTTGCTTAATGACAGCAATCCGAAGAACCAGAATTTCCATCCATAAGCAGCACAGTCAGGTGATGTTGCTTAGCAACATAAATTCTAGTCCCAACAGTCATTGTTAATTAGCTGTATTGAATACACTGTTATGTTTTATTTTTATGGCCTGATTTGTATAGATCTTTTTAATAGTAATTAATTGCATGGGCTGCTTAAATGGGCTCCAGCGAGTTAGTTCTTAAAGGCTATTGTTTGGGATTTAAAGCTGACTGTGATTTGCCATATTTGCCTAATGATTAAAAATCAGTGATAAGATTGGTTGGAATCTTATGAGGAATGCAGCTAAAATACTGTAAATATTTTGGATGCATTATGCAAAAGGAATATTTTTTTGAGAAAAATAATCCATTAACAGTTAATAAGTAATTCATATCCATAATCAAACAGGCTGAAGAACAAGATGTCTAATGAAATTTCATCGTGTTATATACCTAACGTGAAATATCACGTGTTTTGATAATAAGTGGTATGAACAGCCTTGAATGCTGCACATTGAAAACTATTATGAGCTAGAACAACCTGTTGCAAAACAAATAAAGCATATGTGTGCCATAATTTTTCTCTCTCAAAAGGGAACTTTGATTACATTTATGCAATTTCTCAAATATTTGCATTCCCAAGTGTTTATCTTTCTACAGTTTTGGCTGCCTTTTTATTCAAGCCCATAAAAAAGGCTTAAATATTTATAATGAAGATATGCAACCAATCCATTTTTTTACACTACACCTGCAATGACCAGGGCAGAAAGGCTAGAGGAGACAGCATGACTTTTTACCATAGCTCCATAAAATATTTGTGGTGCTGCAAAAAAGAACTGCCTGGTATTAGAGGAGAAGACGTTCCATAGAGTCACTTCATTTTGTAAGTGACTTTTTGTGTTTCAGTCACTGAAGTCTTTATTTTGTACTAAGAGAATCAGACATGGATTCAAGGAAGAGCTGAGACCACTGAGCTGGGCCTGTGTGCCATGCTGGGAAATGCGACATACTAAGAATGAAATAAAATGTAGTTGTTTTCCCACACTATTAAATAAGTTAGCTATCCTACAAAAATACATAGCTATTACTCCATAAGCAGAGACTGTTGTTGCTTTCAGCTAGGTTTACATCCATACTGCAATCACCAGAAGTGTGTGCAGGTGGTGGTCCAAAGGGAGGAGGAGGAGAAGGCAATGATGAAAGCAGCATTGCACAACTCTCTCTTCCCCTTCTGTGCAAACCAAAGGAATGGAGCAAGCCTCTTGGCCGCACAGTTTTCTTTCTCAGCACACTCAGCTATGATACTGTCCAAACCAGGATGGAGAAATTCTATATATTGGGAAATTTCTATTCAGGAGGGAATGTTAATTTAGTATTATACGAATACTAATAAAAGATGGATTACAGCACAATAAAAAAACCTTCCCCAAGTTTATTAATGGTAAAAGAGCATATCCAGAGGCAGGACTTTTCTGAGAGCAGAGGCACCGATAGCTATTTCTCATCCAGGGTAGCCCAAACAGGAAACCCAAACCCAACAGACTGGTTAAAAGGTTGTAGACTCAAACCTATGAGGAGAGGACAGAAAGAGCTGGGCAAGGGAAAATAACCTCACAGTGCATTGAATTGGTTTAGCTTAGTTTTCTATGCAATCTCAACATGCCTTTACAATGTGGAACTAGAAAGATTGGATGCAGTATACTTTTGTCTTCAGAAATCTTATGTAGCCCAAATGTAAAAGGTTTAAAAGACATTACAGATCAACAGTAGAGACTTGCCAAAATTGCAACTGTTGTTGTAAACGTAACTTTCCCTCAAAGTCCCAAGGAATTGTTCTGTGTTTCCATTTGCAAAACATCTTTTTGTCTCATTTTTAATATTGGCTCTATCATTCAGAAATTCAGCTCTTGCAAATGCTGAAGTGTCCTATATAGAATGGCAAATCAGTATCCCTCTCCAAGACTGACTTTGGATTGTAACTCATCCTCCACTGCCCTTAGAGGAGATAAAAATATGGTCAGAAAAGCAAACACTAAGACAGAAATGTATATCAGCAAGAGAGCCAGCCTAAGCCCAGATCTCATTGCAACCTTTTATTGCAACAGAGCTTTCCGGGAAAAGATATGGAATATGTGTTAAGGAGTTTTAAAAACAGAGGCAATATCCTGTCTTTCAGAAAACTGAAAAAAAAATTAACATGTTGAGAAAGGAGCCTGCTACCTCAAGAAAACACTGAACTTCATAACAGATGGAGTAATAAAAAAAGATTAGCAATGAAAAGTTTAGTGCTTGTTATTAGGGTTGTATCACACTCGGCACCTACAAAAACTAAATGAAATGCCAATGGCAATGAGTGAAATCCTGCCTAATGAATCTACCCTAATAGATAAATCAGAAAATCAAATTGCAACACTATTTCCTTGTTTTATTCTCTTAAACTTTGCCATGACAATCCTTTAACTTTATCTGCATAAACACCATTTTTTTGGCTGAAATAATTTTTTAAAAATCATTATCCATATAAATGACAAACCCAAATCATAAAACAAAAAATGTGACACCAAAGTGCATCAAGAACAGCAGCTGAGCATTCATCTCAACTGCATACGTTATTTGCTGCAGCCCTAAAAAGACAAGGAGTAATAATCATTTTCAGATATCCTAATGGCCAACTACAGGTATATCAGTAAAACAATGGAAACAAACAGCAGAATCTTTAAGCAAGCTTGAATCTTTCTTCCTATTTAGCCAGGAACAATTTCACAGCCAAGCCTTGCCATTTCATGATTGGCTACCTGAAGCAAAAGCCCAAGAAATTCCACAAATCATCATAAGAGAACATCTTATGATGATCCTGCATAGAATTATAAGCCTAGCTACCTCATTAGAGGTACTGACTGACAAGTTTAATCATACATACATACATAATTAAGCACTCAATAAGTCAAAAGTTTCTTACCGCCTGTCACCAGAAACAAGGCATTCATCAGAACTCTGCTTCTCACCTGATCATCGTCCTCATCCTCCTCGTCTTCTGCCAAACGCTGTCTGCCTACTTCATATAGCCTGCAAACAGTATCCATGTTCATGGCATCCATACTTCCCTGGTTCTATAAAAGGAACAATCAGCACAACATAGTAAATTAATTTTCCAGCCAAAGCTATTAATGAACACTGTATGATTATTTTTCTTCAATGATAGTGTGTGTGTGTGTGTGTGTGTGTGTGTGTGTGTGTGTGTGTGTGTGTTTATTTATAAAATTTACCTCAATAACAGCTAAATAACAATCCTTTGTGTCCGTACATAGATCAAAGATGTTTCTTTTCACATCAATGGTGGCTGGAAAAAAATATAATATAGATATAAGACATATAAGGAAGTCAACCGGACACTGGAAAGTCCCAGAGCTGGATAAGTAGCCTTTAAGCTTGTGAAATCTGGCATTCTGTATCTTATCTACTGTATGTCTAGAACCCCAAGGCCAAGCTCCACATAAAAGGATGGCCTTAGTGAAGAAGGAGACAGGAAAGAGAAAATGGTGATGTAGGGTAGAAAAGGCAATTCCTTGCTGCAATTTACAAGACATATATCAGAAAGATATTTTTAAACGTATAGCTCTGAAATTATCTGAAATACCCCAGGATGCAATATTTTTAGCTGGGGATCTACAATTTTTAGCCTATGAGGATGACAGAAAGCATGTTTCTGATCATACCATGAAATTACTAATAGGAAAAATGGTGAAGGAAGGGGAAAAAAGAAATGTTGGTTCTCCTCCCTTTTTTAACTATTGAGTTCAAAATCTACAAAGATTTAGAGGGTCAGACCATTTTTTTTTAAAAAAATAACCCATAGTAATGCATTTAATCAGCATGATTTAGAAGTACTCTGAAATAGCAAAATGGAGGCTAGAGGAATCACATGCAGCTTGAAAGTCAGTCTCTAATAAATATACAATTGTCTCATTCCTCCTCCTTTTATTTCAACAGCATGTGGGAGGGAGATTTTCTCATACTATTTGTTTAGTAATCTTTTGATTCCTCTACTAACAAATTTTGAACAGATTCTGAACTGAAGTAGTATACTTCATCAATAAAAAGGTAGTGTTTTCATTTCCCCCATGTAGTAGGAAAGGAAAGAGAGAGATTTTCCTTCCGCTTGTTATAATTTTTTGAATATTTGGCCTTGGAAATTTGCCAAACATAATATACTTTACTGAAGTACTCCACTCTGAACAAATTTTGAGATTTTTTTATGTATTTGGCATTTTGTTCCCCCTATATTTTCATTCTTTACTTTTACAGAAAAAAATCATTTTTGATGTTTAACCAAATTTACATTCTGGAAAGATGATGATAGTAAATGGATAATAAATGTTTCCTAGCAGAGCAGCTGAAATCATAATTTCATTTGGTTTATTTCAATAGGAACAATTATAATCTTTACCAATTGGTTTGTAATCTGTTGCATTGAATGTCCTGAAGGATGATCCAAAAGGACTTCGCATTCTCTCTTCCAGCAAATCATCTTCATCATCGGCTTGTAGCATAGCTGATCAAGAAAGAAAATATTTTTAGGGAATATAAGGAGAGGAAGCATATGACACAAGAATTTAGGAGTTTAAATGAATCTTTTTGTTTTTAAATACATATTTGCTCCTATAATTGAATAAGATTACTATCAAAAAATCAGAAAATATAGAGCCATACAACTGTACTACACTTTAGGTTAGAAATTTAAATTCCATTTTAGTTAGTTATGATTCATTTTGTTTAAGATTCAAAGAATACCAAATGGAGCAACAAAGCTAAACAAGGAGAAAAAGGCACCATTAAAAAAAAGTAAGGGAAAATGTTAAGCGAGTTTCCAGAGAAGTCCATAGAAGCCATCCTTAGGCAGATGGTTGGCCATTGTAAGAACAGATTGCTGGCCAAAATAATCCAGGAGTCCAATCAGCAGGGTACTGTTTATGTTAATATATATACAGGAACATAGAAAATTGCTTTCATGAATCAGAATTCTTCTCCCTTAACTCAGAAGTGCTGGCCCTGACTGACAATTGCCTTCCAACTTTTCAGATTACAGCCTTTCCCAATCCTATGTGAAAATGCCAGAGATTCAGCTAAGACTGAACCTCAGCCCCTTCTGAAGTCTACTGCCAACTCAAGACCTTTTAAAAGTGTTTTCACTTGGCAAATCTTGGCAACACCCACTGTGCTGTTTTGGTGACTGCTAGAAAGTATGATGAAACAAAATCTATAGCTCTCCTGATGCCATCACATAATGAAAACCAGTCATTACCTCCATACATAACTGTCCCAGTATGGTTGAAAACAACACGGCATTGATCCAAAGCAGGCACTGTGTGTAACAAGTGGAAAGTCCGCAAGTCCCACTGGAGAGATCATTAAGGAAGATTCTGCACTATAAATAAGGGACATTAGTAAAGGATCTCGCTCTCCAGCTCCAATGACAGCCTCACACTCGCCATCATCTGCCCAGCCATGAGACAGAATTTCTCTAACAATTATAGTAACGTATCTGAATAATCTAATGGATTATTTCCTCAATTTGCATGATACATATATGTTTGAATCATATATCACAGAATAATACTTTTGAATCTACCCACCAAATTTCATTTCAGCTTGCAAAATCACTTAAAAGTTTTGAATTGACCTTGCATTAATTCTTCATGTACAGAATTTCACAGATGTCTTTATGGTGGGATGGATCTACCATGGATCACCAGACTCTAAAGTTAGGAGAGTCATAGTTGCTCTCACTTTTGTAATAAAGGCAAATGTTATGCTAGAGAATCTTAAAAGTATACTGAAAATACAACCACTGATATAATAATTATTCTACAAAAAGTTACGGTTCAACTATATTTGAACTGAAAAATATTTTAGTCAAAGGAAACCCAAAAAGGATATTTTATAAATCTACTGTTTTTCTACCAATCCTTTTTTCTTCTCTTCAGCCATACACAAGACTATCAGGATAAAAAGAGTTTGCCCTTTCCAGAAATCTGGATTCATTACTGTGCTGGGCTTTCTTGTTTTTGCTGTTTTCTAAATGGCTTCCATCTCTTCTTCCATCGTGCTTTTCTTATCTTTCCCCCAATTTTCTTGCTTTATTAACCAAATGTGTATAGATACCCATCCCATTAAAAAGTGGTTCCTAGAAACCTGGCTGCAGTATGTTCATTTCTGTACTACAGAGTAGTACTGTTTATACCTTCTGCTGAAAAATGTATTGTCTTAGTCACTTTGAGCAGACAACTTCAATTGACTTGACAATAAGCAAGACCAAAAAGTTTACAACCTGCTGTTATTTCCACAATTAAGGATTTTCGTTTTGAGTTCTCACATGAAAGAGGATTGGGTTTATCTTATGTGCTGCCGAGAGTCACACAATTTAAGTTGTATGAACTTATTATAAACCTTGAAATTAAATAAACAATTAAGTAAGCTCTTCCTACCAACCTCTACTATTCCAACAGACACTGAAGTTAAGGTTAAAAAAGGATACAATTTCTGTGTTCACTATGACCTCCAATCCATTCGGGTGGAAAACGCCACTGATGGTCATATTGAATTTATCAAATTTATGAATAGCCTGTGCAGAGCGAACATCCCAGAGGACACCATCGTTTAAGACAAGGTCATCTGTGGGGTTAAAGGTGGCAGAATTCTTCTTGTAGTTGTTTGCAAGATCTGGGTTAAACAAAGTCAAGAGCTTGTTGCCAGTCTGAATATCATAGATCTTTTAGATGAAAAAGGAAAAAAGAAAATAACTTAGTCAACACATGTCAAATATTTTGTCCAAAAAAGCACATGCAACCGTTTCCAAATCACTCACATTTTATGGATTCTCATCTACCTTGTTTTCCTCATGCTTGCTGGAGAACTCTGAGAGTTGAAACCCATATATCTTAAAAGTTGTCGATATGAAGAATGAATGATCCAACAATCGTATTAATTTTAAATTTTATTTCTGTCTTTTAGAGTTTACCTCAGACCACTTGGTGTCACATGCAACCCTCACAAATTCTTCGGCCTCTGTCTCCAAATGATTAAGGGAAAAGTTGGCCTCGAACAGAACTTTGTCATCTAATAACCCAGGGAGAAAGCATGGCTGTTGCTCACTTCTCATCGATTCATTCCTATGCCCTAGAACATCGATGGCAAATCTTTTTTGGCTCGCGTGCCATAAGCGGGGGGAATGCAGGCGGGTTGTGTGCGGGTGTGCTGCACCCATAATGCAATGCACGACCCCCCCAATGCGCATGCGCGCATGCCAAACGTGTCTATTTTTGCATGCTTTTTTCACCCTCCCCAGGCTCCAGAGGCTTCGTAGGAGCCTGGGGAGCGTAAAAGCAGCCTCTCCCCTCCCGGAGGCCCTAGGAGATTCCCTGAAGACTCCGGAGTGCAGAAAACTGGCCCTACGGGCAAACTGGAATTTCAGGAACAGACTTCTAGTTTGCTTGTAGGGCCGGTTTAAGCCCTCCAGAGCCTTCAGGGGCCTTCCAGAGGCTTCCCTGAAGGCTCTGGGCCATTTTTTTGCACTCCAGAGACTTCAGGGAAGCTCCTGAAGCCTCTGGAGGGCCTCGGGGGGGGGGGGGGGCTGTTTTTGCCCTCCCCAGGCTCCTAAAAAGCCTCTGGAGCCTAGGGAGGGTGAAAAATGGCTTTAAAAAAGGCTGAACTCAGCTGACCAGCGCGCACATGCACTCTGGCCAGCTGACAGGGGAACGCCTTGCGTGCCCTGACAAATGGCTCCGCGTGCCACCTGTGGCATGCATGCCATAGGTTTGCCATCCTGGCCATAGAATATTCTATGACACGAAACAAAACTGCTGGGCTGAAAACTATACTTTGATATTTGAATGTGTGGCTTGCAATATAAAAGTATTCTAGCTGATATTAGAGGCAGTGAGTTACATAATAATGCCCAATGTAGTATGTGGTGAAAAAGATTCACAAAACAAAAAGGAAGATGATAACATTCCGTCATTAATACTCAATAACATTTAACATCTTATTCCCTTCTTTTAAAATTGTTTTCGTAAAGTAATCTATTCTTTTATATTCTGAGCATCTGGCTTTATTACTTTTACCTTTTTTGTCAGAATAGATTACATCCCGGATTCTTAACTGCCACTTGCACTTTGCTGAAGTTCAGAATTAACATTTTAGCTTGTCACAAATGACCATAGTATGAACCCAGATCAGATTATAGTTGAAGGCTAACAGAAAGAATAGTAAATCAACAGAAAAACGTCTTGCTTAAAGATAAAAATGCAGGAATAAGAACAAAAAGCAGAAGGAAAAGTGCCGAGATTTTAATAGATACACACAGCATGGGCTAAATGGGCTAGAGGTGACTTGTATCAGGTCATAAGAAACAATTGTTATATCTTCTGGAATGTTGTGAGAAAATTGAAAGCAATGCTAGCCACAATGCCTAGCTTGCCAGTTGTTTGACAGCTAGCAGCGCAACACAACTGCAGCAATGGTACCATGGCTTTCACTAACTCTTCCTTTTCTCTTGCAGTGCAACTATGTCACCTCCTCCTTTTAAGAGAAAGAAAATTGGCAAAATTTACAGCTATCATCTTCCACTCAAATCCTGCCATCTTTCCTCTATTCAGAGTATCCCTTGAGTAGAATTTTCCCCACAGAATTCTGGATTCAATATTCATCTTTATTTTTCCTAAGGTAAATAAATTGCTATCATTTAAAAAAAAAAGGCAGATTCTACAGTTTCTGTCTTGAAAGCTTCCAACGTATTTAATTTTACAACTAGGAAACATTTGCTGATGTATAACCAGTTTGCTTTTTAAGGAATAAATATGAATTCTGGCATATGTTCCAGAAAACAGTCTTTCTCATGAAGTATTAGGGCTATAATTACAGATGTTCAAAGGTAGGATTGTGTCTTGAAGAATATATTGCACATTTTGATATTAAAGAATATCTAATCTAATCCCACAAAACATATCTGAACTTTAGATCACTTCTGAACTTACTTCTAATTCTCTCAAGTAATGCCGGTGCACTTAATCAATATATTTGTCATTTAGCACCACTTTTCTATTTGTTAAAAAATATATGGCAGTGATTACAGATTTTTAGTAGTATTTATTTATTAAATTTATATACCACCAATCTCACTTTAATGGTTTCAAGCCATGAAACATATTTTTAGGAATAACCTCGCTCTCTGCATTTTCAAGTGCTGTATATAATGGCTGTGGCTTGTAAGTAACCCTGTATTTCTTCTGAGATTCAACAACCAATACTTACATGGGCAATGTCCCCCTTGGTGCCAATGACCCTATCTTGAGAATGCTTACTGAACTCAACATAATGGTCATCCGTGAAGGAATGCCTGCGAGGAAAAAGTACATCATCAGCCAACTACAAAGAACGAAGCTTTCACTCAAAAAAATGTGCTTTTATCTAGTATATGTGAATACATCTGCAATAGCAATAAGACTTTCACCTCGTGTTTTACAGTACTATGTACTGTGTCAGTATATTGTCCTCAACAATCTGGATCAGAAGGATGAGTTAACCTTGAGCCAGACAGCATCAAACTCCTGGCTGTGGGCAGAGTCTGCCTGCAATACTGCATTCTAACCACTGTGCCACATGGTTCTTTGTATACACAATACGCAATAACTGTCAGGAACTAATAGAAAAAAGTATCACACATCTTGGCTACTTTAAAGAGCCTGAATATTATACAGTATTTAAAACCAGAAAGTTTCAAATATTAAAATATTGCCCGATTAATGGCCTGCTCATTCAAGACAATTAAATCACCATAAAGGAGTAATGTTTTTAACCTTGGCAACTTTGTGGACTTCAATTCTTAGTGTGCTGGGCGGGGAATTGTGAAAACTGAAGAACAACATCTTAAAGCTGCCAAGGTTGAGAAGCACTGATTGCTAGAAAGCATACATACTTGGTTTCAAAGACAGATTTCATTCCCCACAATGCAGAAAGTGGCTGGCTCCAGGAAGCAGATGTCAGCAATAAAGAACCATCCTGCAGTTTGGGAAGAGAAGTCAAAGCAGACACTCTTTAGGCATGTGGACAGCATGTGGGGTTTCTTTTAAGAGAAAGGGGAATTTCTACCTCTGTCACAATGTACAAAATACTCTTCTAGGCAGATAATACTCTTGCCAATTTAAGGTAGCATGGTCACAATCATACAAAGATAAAACCACTAACATACTATTGGCTTGGTCTGACCAGAAGGTTATTACAAATCAACTGTACTGAACAACGATTCCATTTCAGGCATAAGCCAATCATCTCCAAAGATCAGAAAATAGAGACTGGTTTTGGAAGCTCATCTCTTCCTCAATCTTCTGAATGTTCAGAAAAAAAGTTTTAAAACATAATGAATAGAGTGATCTATGATAGGTTACAGGTAATCCTCAATTTATGACTGGTCATTTAACAACTGTCAAAAGTTACATCCTCAAAAAGGTTGCATTATAAAACATCACACTCCACTCCCCCATTAGTCACATGATCATGATCTGGGTGCTTGCCAGTTGTTCACATTTATAACTGCTTGCCATGCAGCCCACAATCATCTGATTGCCATTTGCAGTCTTCTCTGCCGGCTTCCCCAGAAAGTCAATATGAAAGACATTCTTTGGCAGGCAGCTCGTCCAGCCAGTCCCCAGAGATGAGTAGGAATTCCAAGTGGAGAGCCGAGATGCAGTGTAGTAAGATAAGGAGCACTGAGGGGAGGTGGGAGAGGCCCTGAGAAGCCGGGTGCATGTCATGCTTGTATCTCTCCCAGGAACTGAAAATCCTGCTTGGATTTCAGCAGGGAGCATTTGTAGCTCCTGAACAGTCTCAATCAGGTTCTCCCTTCCCACCCCCGAGACACTCTGCACTCCCTACTTGGGATTGCTAAGCAACCTGTACAATCACTTAACACCTGAAATCAGTTATGTGACATCTTACTTAATGATCCCTTCACTTAGTAACCAAGATTCCAGGTTCAATTGTGAACATAAGTCAAGGACTACCTATATTTTAAGCAATGACTAAAAATCCCACCTAAGTCAATAAAATCAGGTTATTGTGCTATTAAACACAACTTGTAATGTTTTCTCATTCCTGGAGTTTTGCCTAATCTCCCAATCCTTATGAAAGAGAGAATGCTATTATTAAAGTGTACCTGACCTGAATATTCTCAGTCTTTTCCTTACCCTGGATGGTTCAAGATGCGTGATAGCAGAGTTATGGCACTTGTAGCTGGCCTCCTCCTGCCCGCTAAAGACATTGTAGAGTTTTAGGTGCCCTGTGCAGGTGCCCAACATCAGGAATCGCTCCCGTGCAGAAAATGCACAACACGTAAAGCCACTTTCATCTTCATTTGCTTCCCGGAACACAGAAATTGGGCGGAACCTGGGATATGAAAGAGCAACTAAGTAAGAAAATTAATTTTCAGGAAAGGAAAAGGAGAAACAGGAGCAACAGCCAAACGCGACTGAGGTTGGGCAGCTGCATCTTAGTCTGCTAGGAGAAAAGACACGGCTTCAGCTTTCTTTGTAAGGGAAGAAGGGTCTTGCCAATAGCTCAGAAATGCTATAGAGGTGATATAGCAAAGTCTTCCTTGTGGTCCCAAGGCAATCAGTTTTGTCCAAGCCAAGGTATGGCACCCAAATCCACTTTCTAAATGGCATGGCCCAAAAAATCGTAGGAATAAAGAACCATCTTCCTTACCTGCTAAATATAAGGTGTCTATCAAAGCATCCACCATCTACCCCGCCATACTTTGGGAAGGCTGCCCTGCGGGTCAGCCGCGAGGTAAAGTTAGTTGGCGCTTGGCGCCTCTGTTTTGGCTCAGGACACTGGTGGGGTGTAAAAAGAGAAAAGGGGGGACAAGTAGCTACAGGGTTTTTGCAGCGCGCATGCTGCTCCCTAAGGTACTCTGTGATTATACTGTCCAAGGTGGGAGGGGAAGGAAGGTGTCTGTCCAGCTGTTTTTTGATAGCTGGGCTCTGACTGTAGGCGCCGTGGTCTGATTTTTGCCGAAGCACTCTGATTTTTCTGCCATTGCAGGGAGATGGTCTCTCACGGATAAAGCTAATTCTGCCAATCACTGGGGCGTTGGTGGCATGAGATGGGCCTGGCAGTGCAAGTGGGCCCTGGCAGCCAGCTGGTCTTGGCTGAGGGTGAACAGAGGAAGCACCAGAAGCAACAGAAGGATGGTTAGTCAACCGGGCCGCAATGCCATTTGCTATGCGAGGGGTACGAGGCAGAGACACAGGAGATGAAGTGGCAGGAACTGGGGTGAAGGCAGAGGAATGAGAAGCTGCTGTCATGGGTAGATCTGCCTCCTTTGTAAGAATGGTAGCAGTTTCTCCTAGCCCTTTAGAGATGAGATGGTTCCTGATCAAAAGGAGCAGCTCCTTCTCAGGAAATGAAATCCTCGACTGGGCCACCACATCTGCCTTCTGTAGTCGGGCCAGAGAGACATCGGTCCCAATCAACAAGGGTTTTCCTGAGACACGCTCTATCAGCTCCGCAGCGTATTTGCAAAACTTGACATGCTCGCTGCGCTTATCCTGCAGCACAGGCTCCTTCATTAGCTGCTGGATCTGACAGCTGCTGAACAGGGGCAGCTTGCTGATGATCTGCCGGACTGTACTACTTCGCGACAACCCAACCAGAGCTTTGCAGGCCAATGCTCGGATCTGGTCTGCATCTGTAATGGGCATTTTGACAGAGAGCAAGGATAACAGCACTTTGATGCCATTGTTTGACTGCACCACGTTCCACATCTTGGCCAAAGTATGCTCACTATTCCTGGGTGTTTGGGGGAGTGCACGACGAGGTGTGCCAGAGATAAATTTGCCAATGCTGGAGATGCGATTGTCTGGACCGCAGACACAGTTAATGATGATCTGAAGGGCAGATTTCTGGATTTCTGCATCGTGAATAAAGAATTCACCCTCGGCAAGCCCCAAAATGATGCTGATACCTGGAAAAAAGAAAAAAAATTAAGTGAAACATTAGCAAGTAAAATGTATCACACATTAGTGTAAGAGAACAATGGCTCTGCTTGTATATTATAGGAGTGATGTCTCTTTTGACTCATGTAATGCTGCACAAATCTGTGTTTATCTAGTGAAAATGTTGAGCAATACACAATACAGACTAAACCTTATTTTTTCCCACCTGCATCTCAACAGACCCCATTGCCATGAAATAAAGAAATTCCTACAAGGATTAGTAATAAAGCAGTCAAAAAAGAGTGTTAAAGGCAGCTTCATTCTAAAAATCCCTTGAACATCTCATTCTTTCAAATAATTCTTAATGTTATAGCACTAGATTCTCTCACAATGATTAGGAGGGTATAATTCCGTAATGGCGAACCTATGACATGCGTGCCACAGGTGGCATGCAGAACCATATCTGAGGGCATGCGAGGTGTTGCCCTATGTCAGTTCCAGCATGTGCCAGCTGATTTTCAGCCTTTCGTAGGGCAGGGGGAGGCCATTTTTCTCCCTCCCCAGGTTTCAGGAAAGCCTCCCAACTGCCCAACAGGACGTCCACAGTGAGGCCTGCGCACATGCGCGCGGGGGGGGGGGGGAGGGGATTGCACATCCTTTTGGCACCCAAGCAGAAAAACATTCGCCATCACTGGTATAATTCAACCTAATAATTGGAAATGAAAATTCTAAAGCTGGTGTGTGTGAGAGAAAATGAGCCAATAACGAACCAGATGTCTTTGCTTCTAGTTTCCCTTTCAAATCTATCCATACACCTTAGTGAGAGGCAGAGAACAAGCTGATGAAAACAGTGATGTATAATACAAACCCTATTCTTTTTTTAATGTGCTTCATACATGTTGTCGCACATGTACAAAAGGAGTGAAGCATAGGGTGCAATACTGTTTTAATCATTTGGACAAAAGCAGCAACATCCTACATATGTCTCTCCCCGCCCCCCTGCCCCCCAACCTGAGTTAATCTGTTCAGACAGATGAAACCATCCAGTTAAAAAAGAAATCATTTGTACTAACTAGAGCCATGCAGTCAAGAGGATCCTTTGTCATAGTCCATTTGCTCAGAATTTAAAAGTTTTACATTGACACTGGTATTCGTAGAAAGCACACCGAGAGATGAGGTTTCACCTACCCACAATAGAAATAGATGTTCCTCCCTCATCCACGGTATCCACTGCCTCAGCTAACTGTAACTGAATTTTTGGAACCACAGTGAGGATGGCCAAAACATCCAACGCGTAACGCACCGTGTCGTTTCTGATAAACGAAAATGAAATACATATAACTCAAAGCATTATGAAACCTATTAAAGGAAAAGTGAACTGAATAAATTCACGGGATAGTCTTTTTCAAAAACAAGAGAGTATATTGTTTTTATTAATTTTATGGGGAACTCCAGAAATCTGTCAGGTACAAACAAACTGTGTTAATATTAATAAATATAGATAGTTGTCCTGGAGCAACTGCCATCTCAACTTATAAGGTATTTCATATCCTGTTGTTCTCTCACCTTGCATAGTAAGTCTTCCAATTGCATGCTATTGAAATAAGCTGAAGCATGAGCTGTACACAACATAGCTTGAGAAACACCTCTGCTGGATCCCAATAGAGCTGACCTGGTCCATATTCTATTAAAAACTCCATCATTTCCACAATCTGCTCATGAGTATAGGAACAAGCCTGCAAGTAGAAGCAAACATTCTAATAGCCTTATCATCACCTATCTGGAAAAATTAAGACAAACACTTTAAAATAGTTTTTTTTNTAGTATGATTGCACATGTATATTGTTTTCTCTTACAACATGATATTCTCTATGTAGTAATATACCTGTGATTATATGTTATGGAAATGAAAATAAAATATTCTTAAGAAAATTTGTTTAGTACCCAATTTGTAAGTAAATTTGTACTGCAACTTCTTCATTAAACACTGCGATATTTGCTGAAATTTAGTATACATATTCCAGATGTAAAATGATACTGAAAAGTCAATATACTAGTTCAGCTTCCACACTGTTTTTTTCCTTAGAAAATATCTGATATGTAATGCACTGTGACTGAGCTCGATCACCTTAGTTCAATTCAAAATTGGGTGTGTATGGTGGAGGTGGGGGATTAAGCTGAAAACAGATTGTAATGTATTTTGTGCTGTGACACCTATTATGTTTTATAGAGTTTTTTAACATAAAAATAATAGCTTTCTTAGAAATGTGTGAACCCTGTGCATAGTAGAGCATATGTACTGTATATATTATTTTAGAAAAAATATTTCAGAAGAAAAACACCATCAAGGATTGTTTTAAAATAATTTTTTAACCTAGAAAACCAATCCTGTCCCCATGAAGCTGTTCTTGATCATTCTTTTTTTTCTTTGACCCAAAACTAAAAGATCACTGAGCAATTTGCCCAAATACTCTTTTAACCATATCTTCTTTTAGACTTTAGAGGCACTAATTTACAAAAGGGAAACAAGAGTACCATCATAAAAAGAAGATTAAGGAACAAAATAAACATGCTAACCAATCCTTTATCTACGTATAGGTTTATGATCTATTTTGTCTTATTGTGCCCATTCTCTGTCAGTTATACAATGATTTGAATCAGGGGTGGGTTGCTGCCGGTATTACTGCTGGTTCTCTCTATGCATGCTCACAATTGCCTATGCACAATTGCCTATGCTCATGCACAAAACATTAAAAAATGCCACAAAAAAAAACAAACCATGCCGCGATGACCGGGGAATCGGTTCGAAGGTGTGGCCAGCTGGATCACTGCCAGTTCTGCAATCCAAGCCAACATTCCACTACTGGTTTGCCCAAACTGGTGCGAACCATTAGCAATCCACCTCTGGTTTGAATTATTTTACCAACCATGCATCTGTGGCTTTAGCACTTAAGAAGTATATACTTTACTGGCTTGTACAAAATCCCCATAATCCCCAGCAAATAATAAACAATTTTCAATTTTCTCTAATAAACAGACCAATCAATGTGAAAATCTCAGATTTCCTATAAATCTAAAAGTTAAAATATGTTTTATAAAAATACATGACTTTCCTAGAAATGCATACTGAAAATATTATATTATTCTGCCGTTTGGCAGATATTTTTTCCCCTCTGTTTTCATGCTGTAATTCAAATGGTTTGGGAAGAAGAAAAAGTCTAACCAATCCATGATGGCCATATTCATATGTAAACGTATGGGAAATTAACAATAAGCTTAGATGTGTTTAGAGGCCTTCTGGCCAGCTGGAATCTGTTGATATGCTCCTTGTATAAAGCCACTGCTGAGATGCAGTGAGAGAGAGGGAGAATCAACTAAAACTTGCCTATGGAGGTTCTCAGACATTCAGGTCGTTATTATCCCAAACACGTTTTTTCAAAAGGCAACTAGACTGTTTTTCCTTGAAGACATTTTGATTCTGTTCCAAGCAGTGACATGCGGTGAAGCTTATGGCTGGTGAGGCAAAAAGAAAGAAAGTGGCTTTTGACCCCCCCCCCGCAGCAGCTATGTCTGAAATAGAGGCGTCCCGGGCCCCGCAGCTATGTCCGACCCAGCTGCGGGGTACCTCTATGTCAGACAGAAGCGGTGGGATGCTTTCTTTTGGCTTTTGTCTGCCCGCAGGGCCAACACTTCCACCTTGCAGGGGCTGGAGCCACAGGCCACCAGGAGTACGTCCCGCCTGCAGCAGAAGAGCGCCGGTTCCTGCCCAGGCTGGAGCGAGAGCCGCGGAGGTGAAAGGCGAAGAGGGGTGGGGGTGTTCCAACAGGCTCCCTCCCCTTTTGGCACACTGCAAGCCAGGCCCACAGCGGCAAGAGGCTCCGCTCAGCTTCTATCCCCCCCCTCTGCTCCAGAGAAGCTGACCGCGGGCAAGTCTCCTCAGCCCTGGTTCCCTCTCCAAGCAGCCCCAGGAGGAAACGGGCCAGCCCTGCTTCCATACCCAGACTTTCCAGCAGTAGAGGACCCGCATTCCGCTCCCTCTTCCAAGCCCCGAGTGGCCAGCCTTTCACCTCCGCAGCTCTCGCTCCAGCCTTGTCCGGGCTCCTCCTCAGCAGGCCTGCCGCAGCTCTGGAAGAAAGTGGCAGGAACCGAGGCTGGCCACTCGGGGCTTGGAAGGGGGAGCAGCATGTGGGTCCTCTGCTGCCAGAAAGTCTGGGGAGGGAAGCGGGGCTGGCCCATTTTCTCCCAGGGCTGCTTGGAGAGGGAACCGGGGCTGCGGAGACTCACCCGCGGCCAGCTTCTCTGGAGCAGAGGGGGGGATAGAAGCGGAGCTGAGCCTCTTGCCGCTGCGGGCCTGGCTTGCGGAGTGCCAAAATGGGAGGGGGCCTCTTGGAACACCCCC